CCCTTGCTTTGGCGCTTCACTGACCGAATCCGTTCACAGCAAAAAGGAAGGAGTGGTTTCCAAAATAAAATAAAATACAAGAGGTCATTATTACAGACAAATACAGCCTCAACACAATGAGCATTTCGTGGATACAAAACTAAGTAATATATTTAAGCAGTTACATACTGATGTTATACACCGGTATATAGCACTGGTCTTTTATTGATGTTCACTTCCTAGTGCTAATATCATGTGAAGCTCTGAGCTCTGTTTACCTTCACAGAGTTCATCTTCAGGTGATTAACAACAGCGGTGGCATTCAGTGGATTTTAATATGCTACAACAACAAGACTTCTGAAAAGTCACCTTAGAAGCAATGGTAAATACAGAATTATTATCAGTTACTGTACTTTCATGTAATGTATACAGCAAACTCCAATTCTGAAAAAGTTGGGACAGTATGGAAAATGCTAATACAAACAAAGGAGTGATTTGTAAATGTACTTTGACTTATAAACATGAAAAGACAAGATATTTGAATTTTCCCCTAATCATCTGCATAGTTTTTTGAAGATAAATGTATATTTTGAAATTGAAGTTGAAATAAGAAGGTGATGTAAAACAGGTGAGGCAATCATCTAATCATAGTATATAAGGAGCCTCCAAAAAGCCCTAGTCCTTCAAGAGCAAGGATGAGTTAAGGCTCATCAATCTGCCAACAGATGTGTCAGCGAATAATCAAACTTTCAGAACAACATTCCTTGAAGACAAATAGGTAGAATTTTGGGCGTTTCACTTTCTATAGTGCACAATAAAATTAAAAGATTCAAGGAATCTGGTCAATTCTCAGTGCGTAAAGGGCAAGGCCGAAAACCACTTCTGAATGCGCATGATATCCCTCTGATGTCACGGTCTTAAAAACCGTCATAAGTCTGTAATGGAGATCCTGACATGGGCTCTGGATTATTTTAGCAAAGCTTTGTCAATCAACACCATTCGCCGCTGCATCCACAGATGCAAGTTATGGCTTTACAACATAAAGCAGAAGCCATACATCAACACTGTCCAGAAGCGCTGCCTTCTCTGGGCTTGGTCTCATCCGAGATGGACAGTAGCACAGTAGAATCGTGTTTTGTGGTCCGACAAGTCAACATTTCAAATAGTTTTTGTTCAAAACAGTCATCGTGTTCCTTGGGCAAAAGAGGAAAAGGACCATCCAAGCTGTTATCAGCATCAGGTCCAAAAGCCAGCGTTGTCATGGTATAGGGGTGTGTCAGTGCCCATGGCATGGATATCTTGCACATCTGCGAGGGCACAATTAATGCAGAAAAATATGTACACATTTTGGATCAACATATGCTGCCATCCAGAGCAGAACAGCGCCAACCACATTCTGCCTGGATTACAAGTACATGGTTGTGTAAGCAGAGAGTGCGAGTTCTAGCATGGCCTGCCTGCAGTCCTGACTTGTCATCGACTGAAAATGTGTGGCACATTATGAAGTGCAAAATAAGGTAACGAAGGCCCTGTACAATTGCGTGGCTGAAGAAATGCACAATGGATGAATGGGGGAAAATTCTGCTTGCTAAACTTAACTAACTAGTGTCTTCAGCGCCCAAACGCTTACTAAGTGTAATTAAAAGAAAAGGTGATGTTACACAGTGGTTAACAGTGAACTGTCCCAACTTCTTTGGAGTGTTTCAGTCATCAGATTTGCAATGAGTGTATGTATATATATATATATATATATATATATATATATATATATATATATATATATATATTAGAGTACATAAATTAAAACATAAAATAATGGGTTAATAATGTGATTTCAATATAGTAAAGGGTAACTGAATGTTCAAATTACTCTTTTTTTGTTTGTTTGTTTTTTTCCATTTTCCATCATACTGTTCCATCAACTTTTACAGTATTGGAGTTTTATATAAAACTTGTATTCAAATAAAAATTCTAAATAAAACCAGGAAACATAAAGCCAGTCTTTTCTGTACTTTCTATTTGAGTAGATGATGCCTACTGTAAAACACATTACAACTTCAATGATGAGTCTAAAAATACTCAGGCCCGAGTTGTACATTCAACATATAATTGCTCCTAATTGCAAATGGGACATCAGTCTGTGACTCAGTCCACTCAGGCTTTGTAGAGATTATATTGCAACACACCAGATACATGGTTTTCTACAGAATAGCTGGATTACAGGTGCTCTCTCTGTTCTGATTGAGGAGGAGCACAAGGAGACTGATTAGTAACCTAAAATATAGAAAACCAGACCATGTAATTAGAAACATCCACACAAGCAGAAAACATCACAAGAATTGTCCTGAAGCCAGAGTCTGAGCATTGGATCAATTGCATTAAAAAAAACAACTTATATATATATATATATATATATATATTTTTATAAATAAAAAAATTTTTTTTTTTATTAAAAAAAAAAAAATATTATTTTTTGTAGGTAATTATAAAATAAATTAAAAAAAATATATAAAAAAAAAAAAAAAAAAAAAAAAAATATATAATAAAAAAAATAAATATATATATATATATATATATATATATTATATATGGTGTTGTATTATTAGAGAGAGGATTTCTGAAAAGCATGACCAAGTTAAACATTAAGATTGAACAGTTCAAAACATTTAACAATTTGACAAGTTGAGTTCACAAGCAAATATCCTTATAAACCTTGGATCTCAAACTGGGGTGTGGGAGGAGTCTGGGTAGCATAGTCAGGGGGTCTGTGTTTGACATTTTAAAGAACTTCTTAGATTTATTATCAAGTTCAGAGCCTGGTTGATCTGTCGCTTGAAAAGTTTTAATAAACTAAAATTTCTCAAAAACAAGTTGGATAATGACATGACATATAATGATAATGTTTTAATAAATGCTTTAATTAAAATGCTCTGTGATCCAGTAAATAGTCAGAATATTATTGTAAACATATAAACAATAAGCCTAATATTTCGACATTTTAAACAAATCCATATTGACAGGGTAAACATTATAGTTAAAGGGGTCTTAAAAACGAAACGCTTGTGAGCCCCTGCTCTAAAGACAAAAGGATCGCTTTAACAGTCTTTACAGAATGAAGAAACACAGCCAAGGCGAGTTTTGTTTACGAAATAAATATCTTGACATTAAAACGATACCCTTTGGGAAAGCTTCTTTGCATGATATTCTCGAACATCCGAGAATAGCCTGCTATCAAATACGGTTCTGCTTGGTCAACAGTTCTAACTGTGTGCATAGTACAGGAAATGAAATCCTGTGCTCACATAGGACACCACCAAAATGGGAGAAAGTGAATTCCTCTGAAATATTCCAGTAATGTGAAGTGCTGTGGTAAGTTTGTAAAAGGTTGCAAAAAAATGTGTTTATGCTTTGACATGTTTTAAATATTAATTTATAATAATAAAAAAGAAAGCAATATGTATATTCCCACTTATAGATCATATTTAAAAAATAATCTGGCAAAATGCTCTGTATTTTAAAATAATTTTAAACCAACAGCTAAAAAGGAATATATTAAAGTAGAATGGATATCATCAGTAATTTACTATGAGACTGCAGTGCATACGAGGAGATTATAAGTTCACAGTGTTGTCGGTTCAGACACAAATCTTCCAGTCTCTCCTTTGGCCTCACATGGATTGTTCAAAGGATGAAGTTTAGGAATTGAAGCATAAGCATGTAGCCTGACTTGCAAACAGATGAATAAAAATAGGAGTCTCAGGACATACTTTGCTAGGATCATAATTCATGCTAGACCTCAGATGAGCCATACCTTGGCAACCTGCAGTGGTCTCTGGTGCTCCGCTCCCCCCTGAAGTCTGAAGCCCCATGGTGCTCCACCGGAGAGCGTAATGGTGATTTCCTCCACCACCATGCTTCTGTGTTGCCTCCTGGATTCAGGGTGAAGGTCTGGGGAAGAGGGCAGTCACTTCATCTTTACATGGTGCCCTCAGAGAAGAGCACTCACCCTACAGCCACAGTAATACTCCTGAGATGACTTTCTGTTTGCCAACCCGAGTCACACAAAGTCACACTCAGGCCCTGCACTCATTCCCTGAACTGGAGCTTTGTGATGGGGCGGAGCAGTAAAGAAGGGAGAAGGAGGGAGAGGGTTGCTACCAATGTCTGCTTACATGGTGGAATTCTCTACTGCTTAAAGGGAGGGCCTACACTTGTCCTGTCAATCAAGGCAGACTGATGTCAGAGATGAGGGGAGGGGTGCATTACCATACTAAAAATACCATCCCAGTCTTAAATGTAATGGATGACAGACACATACATAATATTACCACAAAACCGCTTTGTACTTTAAGAGCCAAGACTGCTTTTGAGGGCTGGAGTCAAAAAGGTTAACATTGTAGATGCCTTTCTGTATAAAATGTTCTCAAATGTGTCAAATCTACTGGCACCCTGTCCAGGGTGTACCCCGCCTTGTGCCCGATGCTTCCTGGGATAGGCTCCAGGTTCCCCGCGACCCTGAAGAAGGAGTAAGCGGTAGAAGATGGATGGATGGATGTGTCAAATCTTGGATATGTAGCCAGGGATTGTTGCATAATCCAGCATCTCACACCTACACAAATTATGCTTAAGACATTTAAACAATATCTTCAATAGAGGGCATGAGGGCAGCCCACCTGAGTGCACAGAGCAGTATCAGTGAGTGGTTTATAAAAATGAGCATGAGAGGTCATGAATTCCACTCTGAGTTGTGAGCAAAGTGTAGACTCTGGTGAGCACGGGAAAAGGAAGTGTGCATGTCTCAGTACTTGATGAACTGAAGGGCTTTCATGCACAACAGTTTCTCTGCATACTAGTTCTATTGCTCCACACTTACAAATACCTTTGTGCGTGCAATTCGCGGCACATTGGGCTCATCTTTAATGACCATGCTCACTGCTACTGCTCCGCACACTCATGTCGGTCACCCACGGACTCTATTAAAGATAATGTTTATACACGATAATATATTTTATATATCAGCTTACTTGTGCTGGGATTTGAACGTAGGACCTTCTGATCAGAAGTCCAACGTCCTAACCATTGAGCTACACTGGCACTATGAAAGAAGGCAAGCTTGCAGAGGTCATATGATGCCCTGGGCAATGTTCTGCTGGGAAACCTTGGGTCCTGGCATTCATGTAAATGTTAGTTTGATACGTACCACCAACCTAAACATGGTTGCCGACCAAATACACCCCTTCATGGCAACACTATTCCCTAACAGCAGTGGTCTCTTTCAGCAGGATATTTGCTGCCACACTGCAAAAATTGCTCAGGAAATGGTTCGAGGAACATGACAAAGAGTTCAAGGTGTTGACTTGCCCTCCGAATTCCCCAGATCTCAATCTGAATGAGCGTCTGTGGGATTTACACGACTTAAAGGATCTGCTGCTAATGTCTTGGTGCCAGATACCACAGCACACCTTCAGAGGTCTTGTGGAGTCCATGCCTCGACGGGTCCGAGCTGTTTATTGGCAGCACAAGGGCGACCTACACAGCATTAGGCAGGTGGTTTTAATGTTACGGCTGATCAGTGTATGTTCAATGCATTGAAAGCAGGATTAAGAGAATGCAGCCACTGCGTATGTTTAAATGTTTTTATTAAATACTTTCCCATGTTTCAATAATAACAAAGCTATCATGAAGATCTACAGACATTCAAACAAACACTTGATATTTTTTAACTTTTTTTTTCTCCATTTTTAAATGGTTTTATTAATTGTATGATCATGCAAAAAAAAAATCCAGCATCCAATTAAAACTGAGAGTATAGTCATATGTGGAACCATCATATGGTTACAATGCAATAAATTGAATAGAATGTGGGGAACATATCAAGCTAAGGCTTTGTTAATCTTTTTTTGTCCTTTTTTTGTTTTGTTTGTGATACATCACTTCATTGTAGCATTTGAAACAGAGCCATTTTAAATTATCTCGAGAATGCAGGTAACATACATATAGATAGATAGATATTTTCGATTTTTTAAGTAAACACAGACAGTGAAAAATATTACCAGAGTAGACATGCATATTTTCCTCCTTCTGTCCATCTGCATATATGGTTCGGTTGTTAGAAGTGAGCAGCCTGTTGAAGCTATTTCAGCTAGCATATCAAGAGCTCACTCTCACTTTACAAGCTAAATGCACGTTGTCGCACAGGCATCTTTTCTTATATCTGAAACACCGTCATCCAGTTCTCTCCTCAATTTGATAGGTTTTCTGCTTCTATACTCAATACGGAAAAAACCGGGTTGTGTTGTTCATATAAACATAAACATTCCGCATGGCTGTGTGGATGCACGACGACGGGCCTCAGAACAGACACTACAGAGACCCCAAACATCACCACACTGGAACTGTACACACAATGCACCAGGGCGCAAAACAGGAACACAGTGTGAGGGGTTGGCGGGTGTCACAGTGCTGCGCTGTGTACTTTCTGCCGTGTTAAGCTCCGTGTGACTGACGAACAGGGATTTTTTTTTTAATCTATCAAGTGTGATCGATAAGCAGAATTGATTTGAACAACCTTGCCCCTTTAAATTCACTGATATTCACACATAAATCTACGTTACTACAGTGAAAAGGTGTCACACACATGATGTCACACTGATACACACACAGATATGCCTTAAAGGGAGCACACTGTGTTCGAGAGCAGTAACACAGCCACACGAGTGTCAAAACCTACACACGACAATTTGCATTTACAACATGATTGATTTTACCAGTGCATGGTGGAGTGCGTCTAGGAGTATGCTTGGGTGTGTGCTGTGTGTATACAGGGACGACGGACGGACGTGCACGTTTGGCACAGCCTAGGATCCACCCTTCATCTACGAATGGGCACTGTGAACATATTTACATTTTTGAAAAAAAATGATATGATCCAGAATAAACATCAACGCTAAGAACACTAACATTAGAACAGTACAACACAAAGTGTCACAAAGGGACCTACAAACCAACTGGCTTTAGCATGATCGCTTTCTCCAATCTCAAGTCAGCCGATGGACACATGATCAGCGAGTTTATCCATCTCGCACTCCCTTTCTTCTGTTAAACATGCTCAACCGTCACTCACAGTGAGTCCGGAGACGGAACAGGGAGTGGAAGAACCGACGGTACGTCACAAATAGTACAACACAGTCAGTGTGCAGACACACACACACACGCACACACACACACACGCACACACGGAGGGAGTGTATAACAGCTGTGGGCTGGTGTCGGGGTTCGTCTGGGATTTTCTAACCTGAAGTTGCAGAAAAGTCCACGCAATGTGAACACAACAGCACAGCGTCTCAGGCTTATGTGCAAAACAGTACAGGCCATTTCTATTCGATTCAAACATGCTTCATAAGAGTCTAGAAAAAAACATATAAGCATATGTAGCTGGAGCTCTAGGAAGCTGATCCAAAGGTGTAAGAGAGAAGAAGCGATCTGAGAGCCACGATGAGGTGAATAGTGTTTAAGCTCCTCCTATTGGGCCGAAGGAGATTATGAACACGCAAATAAAGTGAAGTGAGTGTTCTGAAACTTCAGGTTCTAAAGAGTAGGACATTATTTAGCTGCAAATAGACAAACAGGTAAGTAAACTGACTGAACACGTGTCAGGGTGTGTTTAGGCAAGTGTGTGCCGATGTGTGTGTGTGTGTGTGTGTGTGTGTGTATACACGCACAGGCTTCTTACAGCACAACAAAGCAAGGAGTGCCAATTGAGGCCGCATATCACGCACAAACACCATACACACTTGCTCTTTTCTTTCTCTCGCTATAAACATCAGTGTAGAACTATACAGAACGTGCCTTGCTTTTAAATCTGCTTTTTTGAAAACACAAAAAACTTCCAAATACAGCATCATTCAGGAGATAAAAACAGAGTTACACACACAAAAAAACCTAAAAGATACTAAAAACATTCCTACACGCCTCTAATTTTCAACCAAATCAAAGGGTTGATAAAACAACCATGTCAAAGTCTAATTTCTACACTTTGGTGATATTTTCTTCAGATATTAAGTAAGAATTTAGTTAAGCTCCTCAAATATCCCACCCATACCATTGGTTTGCTGAAATCAGCTATACACACATTAACAAAAACAAAAAAAAAAGAAAAGAAAAGAAACACCACCAGCCACTGAAATATTCACATTTCTGATTTTAAACCACCATCACTTTCAGCCCTGCTAATGGTGTGAGGATTGACGATTTCAAAAAATGTACAACATATTAATACTTGAAACACTCTTGCTGAACGACGGGCTGAAGAGATGGGCTCATGGGGAAAGGACGAGACAGCGCCCCCTGTGGGCATCAGAAGCATGCAGCATTCGGAGGGCGGGGCCACTGCCATCGCCGGCCCCCACGTCTAGCTACAGTTGGACTGAAGTGGTGCTGGCCTCAGCTGGCTTAAATTTTTTTTTTTTTTTTACTTTGTTGCGTGATTTTTTCCCCCTTATGTTTTCTCTTCCGGCCGGGCCCCTGGCACCAATCCGACCACTGAGAAGACATGCTCCAATCATCCAGGCAAGCTGGAAAAGAGACATTTTGCACCTTAGTTGATGCGCAACTACTCCCCGCTCCATCCCCCCAAGGAATATAATTTTAGGCTAATATAAAGCAAATTTGGATTTTGTGGTGTACCTTGTAGAATAGAATCCAGGCTATAAACTATTTAACCAAGTGCTCAGTCTAGGTATTCAGTTACTATGGCCACTGAGCTACTTTGGACTTAATATAATAAAAGTAATTAAATAATAATAAAAATGTTGCTTTTATTTCTGTAGAAATGACTACTTCCATTGAGAGGTTGTCCATATACCTAACACTGAAACAGGAAATAGCACCCAACCCAAATACGGTAGCTAGAAAGGCTTCTTCTTCCTTGGTTAAGGACAACCGTGAGCATTCACTTTCTTTTGGACAAGAGTGAATAAAATGTGGACTGCTGTGTGCATGGTGTACCTGTGCCTGGTGTAGTTCATTGTAAAGGGGCAGCAGGTGCTCCTGAGCAGTGGAAGTGCACATTGAGCCACTTGGAATCACGGCGGTGCCACACGCGCGTCTCCTCTGACTGGCAGCTGCGCGGGCGGCCCTGGCTGTCAATGTACTGAGTCAGACGGATGTAAGCGATGCAGGCTGCATCCTCTCCGATCAGATGTACGTGAGGATTTAAGATGGTGGTGTGCACTGGCTTGCTATTCTTACTCAATACTACAGTGACACAGAGAGAGAGAGAGAGAGAGAGAGAGAGAAAGCAATATTATAACCTCATGTCTTCGGCTTTGTTTTTGTCAGCTCAATAAATAAACAGGAGGTCTGGTCACTCACGGTTCTCGAAGTAGAACTTGTGGAAGTCCATGCCTTCCACTAGATTGCCCAATGCCTCAGGCTCAAAGGAGGTCAGACCAGGGTCACAGATTCTCCTGAAACAAGAGATATCAAAGAACTGGTCCCAGAAATATTCAGACACAGATTTTCAGGTTGAAAAATGCAATACTACATGCTCATAATCTGCATGAACCAAACACAAAACAATTCCATCGTGTATGCTGTGACCACAAAGAATAAACGCTCATTAATATCTGAAGTAAAGGTTTCACTAGTGTAATTTATGAAAAATTCAATTAACAAAAGTGTGAACTTACGTATAGGCTTCAAAGTCCCCATTGTTGATGGCTTCAATCAGCTGTTCAGTAATTTTGATGATTTCCTGCTTGCGCGCTGATGTGGTAGGAGGTAGGACAGTTATGAAAATAGGTCAATTAGAGATCCCGATACTGAAATTTTATTTAAACAACAACAACAACAACAAAAAACATGCATGCTAACAGATTCCACCCCAACCAATCATTAGGCTACACAATCACTAATGCCTGACTACAATCTACACAGTCACTAATGCCTGACTATTGGAAGCATCCGAGTCTCACATTTGACTAAACACTAAAAAAACAAAACAAAACAAAAACCAGACAACTTCAACAACTGCATGGAGGAATTTATACTCAATATTCTGGAAGCTTCATAAGTTTCTATCTTACACTTTTAAA